TTTGATTTGATTAGATTTAGGTTGGGAAGATTTTGATTTAAGATAGGTAAGTTTTGGATTGGGTTAGGATTGGGTTAGTATTTGTAGTTGCGTATCTATAGATATACTAACCCAATAGGACTAATACTAACTCAATTAGTGACATTTATTGAAGGTAGAAGATGATATGACGTCATACTCAAATTTTAATAATATCAGTTACTATTGAGTTAGGAGTTGAGTTAGGAGTTGAATTAAGATTTGATAGGGTTTGAATTCTCTACTAACCTAATACCAACATAATACTAATGCGATCAGTAAATAAGTGATTTAGTGTGAGGAAAGAGTAGTGGTTGTATAACGGCACTACAATAGATAACTTAATCTTAACTTAACTTAACAAAAACAAAAACTTACTTGTACTAAATCAAAATCAAAACTTAACTCAATACTAAATCAAAACTTAACCCAATCTTATCTTATCTAACTCAAAACCTAACCAAATACTAAATCAATCTGAGAGTAGTTGTAACGGTTAGTGCAAATTTTTAATGGGTCGACCAGAGAATTCGGGGGCTAAAGTTTACTATACTGGGGAAGTTGCGCAAAAATACGATGCTAGTTCGAGTTTGAATAATATTCAGGGTAGAATTACTGAAAGATGTCTTGCTATTTTGAACGATCCAGAAGATTCAATGGTTTTAGATATTGGTTGTGGTAGTGGAATAAGTACAGAAAAGATCTTAGATAGTGGTAATTTTGTGATTGGAGTGGATATAAGCAGGGAAATGCTTGAATTAGCTCGAGAAAGAGTTAAGTCTATTTTTTATGATGAAGATTCAGCTGAGAAGTATTCAGATTGGATTGAAGTAGATATTGGGACTGGTTTACCTTTTCGTAGTGCAGTTTTTGATTATGCCGTTAGTGTTAGTGTTTTACAATGGTTAGTTGTTCAAAAAGATTACAAGAAACTCTTATCTGCCTTTTTCTATACTTTGTATGATGCATTGAAATCTGATGGAATAGCTGTCTTACAGTACTATCCAGAAACAGATAAGCATATGGATGATATTATGAAGTATGCTTTGAAATTTGGATTTGCTGGTGGAACTCTAGTTGAGAATCAAGATAGTAAGAAGAAAAGGAAGACTTACTTGATCTTAGAAATGCCAGGAGCTAAAGGTAAGTCAAAACACTTGCCCAGTCGTAAAGAGAAGACTAAAACCCGAGTTACTAACCGTAATCTAAGTAGACAAGAATGGGTGCTTAAAAAGAAGGCTAAAAGAGAGAGTAAAGGACACTACGTACCTGAAACCAGCAAATATTCCGGTCGTAAACGTAGTGGTCGTTTGGGTTAGGTTGGTATTGAGTTAGTTTGATATTGGGTTGGTTTAGGTGATAGTCAATAAAAGTTATATTCAGATGGAGTTAAGATAAGATAAGATTAGATTAAGTTGTGATAAGATAAGATTAAATTAAGATTAGATTGTCTTTGTTCTACTTTAACTCAACTTGTGTTAAGTTAGTAGTACTATTCAAAGATTAACTTAGTATTTATCTAAATATTATAATTGTAATTCAAAGCTAATAAAATACCGATTCAATCTAAACTTTACTTTACTTTACTTAAACTTAAGATAATCTAAACTCAACTTAATCTAAACTCAACTCAACTCAATCTAACCTTTACTTAACTTTACTTAAACTCAACTCAATTTTTACTTAAACTCAACTTAATCTAAACTTAACATAAACTTAACTCAATCTAAACTTAACTCAATCTAACATAAACTCAACTCAATCTTAACTCAACTTGAATATTACTATAAAGAGTAATTTTTGGCTGTAAAATTTAATGGAAAACTTAGTTGTCAATGCCGTGCATTGTAAAAGACAGAAGTGCTTTGGAGTGTCTAATGGATGGATGTTAGGTGTAAATGGTGAAATTGAACCTATTGATAACAAAACTGATTGTAAAATGCCTAAAAGATATTCTGAAAATCCGGAAAAGGCGTTGGGGTTTTTTGCTGAATCTAACGGTCGTGCTTTTAGAGTGCTGACTAGAGATGGAGCGGTTTGGGAGTTGGATTGTGCGAGTTCGGATGAATGGGAAAAGGCTGGAGAGTTTGAAGACGACCAAATTCTTGGCTGTCAATTTAATGCTGATAACGGTAACTTGCTGGTAGGTACACATGAACGATTGTTTTTGATTGATAAAAACATGAACTTAATTGGAGATAAGGAAATACCTGAAAGAATATCTTTAGAGATAAAAAGCCAAACTAATCCGACTATGCGGGCTGCCTGGAGTCCAGATGGGAAGTATATTTGTGTTCAACTCGGTTTTGATGTGATATTTTACGGCTATGACTTGTCTGTTATTGCTGATACACTTAGTATGTGCAATAAAGTCATGAATAGTCGATTGATGCGAACTAAGAAGTACTTAAAACATGAAAGTGCGTATGTAGATGTAGTCCGTCGGGTGGAAATGCCAGATGACCAATTGGAGTACGTTGATGACCTGCGAGAACGAGAAAGTGTTTTGTTTGAAGACCGAACTAAGTATAAACTATGTGCTTGGCATGATCAGTTTTCTTTAGCCTATGCTGTTTCAGAGAACAACACTATCTTCTTACTGGAACGAAATGGATTGAAATTCAAGGAAATTCAGCATATTCGTAAATCTGATCAAAAAGCAGAAGAGATAGAAGATAACCAGATTTTGCAAATTACTTCAACGGCTGATTATCTCTACATTATTCACCAAGAGAAAACCCGGCATTTTATGAAGGTTTACTATATCAAAAACAATTGCATTTATCTTAAGACTCATCTTTGCTTAGAAACTGCTTTGGGAGTAGAACAAGTCTCTACTATTTATGCCTTCTTTGTTGATCCACAGTCACAACGGATTCATGTATCTTTAGCTGAAGGTCATTTGATTATCAGCCAGCACCATTTGACTAACCGTACAACTACTGATGTTATTGATGTGGATGGATGCCGCCTTCTTTTCTACAACCTTGCTAAATGCACTGCTCCACCGCCTATATTTGCCCGGCATCTGGTTTTGAAAGAGATTCCAGCAGCTATCTCCTGTACTGCTCGTTACATAGAAATCACCAATCAAACCGGCCAGCAGTACCAACTTCCCACTACACCTCTCCAGCCATCACAACCTCAGGCTAAGAACTTAGAACAAAACTTAGCTGCCTTAACTATTACCAACTTACCTCCAACTCCAGCAACTCACTCCATTCCATCTAGTGATCAGTCCTCCCAAATACACACAGAAATCACCGGTCTAGCTGAACAACAAGTCGTTCCCTTTTATCAAAGCACGGCTAAACTCTCCCTCACTCAGAGCAAGCTCACTCTTTCCTACCAGGACCAGCACATAACTGTTCATGATGTTACTTCAGCGGCTGTGGCTACACTTGATACTTCTAGTCTTTTAATTACTAAATCGGGCTTCTCGGCCACTGAAATCCACCAAGTCAATTACTGTCCCACCTCTAAAACACTCAATACAACTCTCCTAATGAAAACTGAGAAGAACTCCCGACTTATCTTTGTGGCTCCTACTCATGTTGTTCTAATCAACCGCTACGGCATGCTTGAAACTTTCTACTTACAAGTCATGGTGGTTTACTGGATGAGAAAGTATGCTGCAGTAGGCTCACTAGATCAAGCAGTTACACTTGGTAAAAAGCATGGGGTTCCCCTAACTGAAATTCTACCGGATGTTGAAAAGGCCATTGCCCAGCAAAAACTAAGTCCATCTCTGGCACTAGAAGTAACCAAATCTTTACTGGCCTCACCACAAACTCCCACGGCAACACTGCAAACCATTGAACAGTACTTGAATTCTCAATTACAATACAACCAACTAGCTATACCCAAAGAGAACAAAGAAAATCAGATAGTTTCCCAGCCAACTCCTCTTACTGCCCGTGATATTACCTATCTAACTGCTGCCCTGGTTGAAATTTATCTATTCCAACGCTTACCCGCTCAAATAATCCAACTAGCCCATCACTACGCCCCAAACCCTTCTAGTTTCACTCCTAACTCCGCCCTAGCAACATCCAAGTATCCGATAGCCTTATCTATTATGCAACGAGCCACTGCAGTTCTTGATAAAAAAGAGCTGATTAAAGTTGCTATGGATCAGTATGCCTATCTTCTCTGCTATCTTATTCTAGCCGTGACTAACTCTTTCCAAGACGAAGTCAATGATATTCTCTTAGCTCCCAACCAAGCAACTATCAACCCTTCCCACCCCCAAGAAGAGATTGCTCGTCGCTTACGCATTGCCAACTATCTTAACAATAGAAAGATCCAAACTAGATACCACATCCTCAATATTCTCAACTCAGATATCAACAACGCAGATACTAATTCAGATATCAACAACGCAGATGCCACCAACTCAAATACTAACAACGCAGATACCACCACCCCAACCCATACCACCCCAACCCACACCACCACTAACCTAACTACTCTAGCCAACACGATCAAAGCCGCCCTAGAATCTGCTCGCATCCGTGATTATTACCTTTATTTAGCCGAAGAGACTCAACTTCTTCCCCAATACTCTTTCACTCAGATTTCACCTACTAAGTACGCCCGTGTTGTCGCCCATTTACTTACCATAGCCGGTGATGATCTCGTCAAAGAAAACTCACCAGAAGAAGCCCTTGCCTGCTACACTGCAGCTGGGAGTCACGGCAAGTTACAGGCTGATAACCTCCGCCTTCAACTAGGCCGTTGGCAAGAACTCTTCCAAGATACTTCTAACATCACCCCTAACCATATCAGCCGCCTTGAAGCCATTCTCACCCAAAAGAAAGAACTAGCCAGTCTAGCCGATATGCATCTTCAGTACGGCCATTACGATACTGGCCTTCATCTTCTAGTCCAACTATCTCAATACCAAACTCTTCTTGCCCAGATCCAAACTAAACTTCCTCACTCACCTACTGCCTTACTTTCCCTGCTAACTACTAATACTACTTCACTCACCGAAACACTAGCTTCTTTAGCCCCTAAGTATACTGAGCATACCGAACGACTCAATCAAGTCCGTACCCGTAAAGAAGCCCAAAGACAAGAAATTCAAAACGGCCTCTATGCCGATGATGACTGTGAAACCACAGCCTATACTCGATCTTTCATCACTAATACCTTCATTACCTCCACCACTAACTCAACTAGAAAGAAGAAACGAAGTGCTAAACTTCGCAATACTGTTGGTGGTCGCTATGAAGAAGAGTATGTCCAGTACGTCCTCAGTGAACTTATTCTCAAAGCCATTTCCCTCTTAACTTCCTTCCTTGACCTTACCGCTACAATTGATTATCTCACTAGTCAAATCAGCACTACTCCCACTACCACCAGTATTAATTCTACTTCCGCACTCACTACTTTCCAAACAACTCTTCTTCATTTCGTCAATACTTTCCTTCCCACCTACCCAACCGACTTCATCTCACAAAACACCGAAGACGATCCCCTTTATGACCCCGATCGTCCCCTTATTCCCCAGCCAGATATTTCTCCCCTCCTCAACTACCTCAACCTAACCCAATAAATCACTATCATATCATCTCATCTCAACTTAGGCAAACCAAATACTTACTACTTTGTACTATCTCAACTTAAACAAACCAAATACTTACTACTTACTACTATCTTATCTTAGATAAACCAAAATCAAATACTTACTACTATCTCAACTTAAACAAACCAAAACATACTACTATCTTATCTTCATACTTTATTCACCTAACTTAACTTAACGCAATCTAACTCAATCTTAACTTAACTCAATCTAAATTAAACTTAACTTACCCTTCTAACAAATCAATGGAACAGATTGACGAGCCCTTACACATAATAGTCGCTTCTTTCTCCTGACATAAACTAGATACTTCTGCACAGTCTGTTTCTGCTATCTTTGTCATTTTGGCCTCTTCTAGTACCATATTAAGTATCTGGTCGTAGCCAGTCAAACGACCACAGATCTGAATACCGCCAAAAAAGGAAATTTGTAACATCTTGCCCAAATACTTCTCTAAATCAAAGACTTGCACGCGTTTATTCGCCCGATCTTCTTTCATCCCAATTTTTTTCTTGGATATGTCTATTTCACAGCATATTCTGCTTAAATTGTCGTATAATGGCATGTCTTATCATGGTTTTGCTTATCAGCCGGGTTTGGCAACTATTGAGTGGCATTTGTTTTTGGCTTTGGTAAAGAGTAAAATGGTATCTATGCCCTTTCCGGGGGTTTATAACGAACAAAACTACAGTTTGTCGGCTGAAATAATATCGGCAATCAATGGTGCTGATTATCATAAGTGTGGAAGAACGGATGCGGGTGTATCGGCGGCAGCTCAGTATATTTCTTTGGTTTTGCCGTATAAGAGTGAGGGGGATGAAGTGAGTGTTTATCCTTATGATTTGATTATCAATCGGTACTTGCCGGCGAATATTAGAATTTTGGGTTACATGCGGGTTGGGGCGGGGTTTAGTGCGCGGTTTTCTTGTATTTGGCGTGAGTATGAGTACTACTTTATGGCGGGTGCTTTGGATGTGGATAAGATGGCGGCGGCTGCTAAGGAGTTATTGGGGACACATTGGTTTGGGCGCTTATCAAAATCGGAAAAACCGTTGGCTAAGAAGAGGAGACTGGCTAAGATAACGCCTAAGCCTTTTCCTTTGGCTGAGGACTGTGTACGAACGATTGATGCTATTTCTTTTGAGACGTGTTCTGCGCGTAGAGATAGAGGTGATATTTACTTGATGCGTATTCGGGCACGGTCTTTTCTGCATAACCAAGTCCGGAAGATCTTTGGCCTGCTAAGTTTAGTCGGCGAGGGAGTAGAAGTAGATTTTGCTAGTGTTTTGGATCAAAATAGAAGTCCGGTTCATGACATTCCTTTGGCTAGTGCATTTCCCTTGGTACTATCAGCTTGTGCCTTCCAGGCAGCAGATTTATCCCAGATGATTAGTCGGCACAGTAAATCTGCACCGGCCGATAAGTTAATGGCCGATGCACTTCTAGCTGCTGAAGTATCCGTTCGAGTCGCCTCAGAAGCCCTAAACAGCACAATCACTACCCCTAAAACCAACCGACCGAACAAAACCAACAAAACCAATAACAATCATAACTAGAAATAAACAACTCTAACAATTTAATTCACCTGACTGTTGTATGTTCCTAGCAGGATATACCTGGTCCGAAAAAGGCAGGAAGCCAATTACCCAATAAGGAAATTTTCCTATCTATAAATAGACCAGCGAATCAATAAATACGAAATACGAGAGTTTAAATGGCGGACCGCAGAAAACAACTCTGACCTTACTTCACTTTACTTCATCTCATTTTACCCCATACTTTACTCCATTTTACCTTATTTCCTAAAAAGGAAATTATATATTGGGCATATCGTTAAAAGTTTGAAAAAGGAATGATCATTCGAAAACAATATGTTTGTTTGATCCTGATTTCTATGATATCCTATGCTTGGGGTACTGTTTGTGGGTCAACTGACTTAAACTTGACTCGAACTCTTCAATCTAATGAACAGACACCTAATCCTGATGATGGTTCTACTTCAATAACAGCACAAGATATTCCTAACTTAATTCCAGCTAATGCTGATCAAGAGACAGTGGATTGCTACAACGAAACCTTTGCTGATCTCGTGGCAATTATGCACTCATCCGATACGAATCCAGTTGTTTTGACTAGCGTAGATAGATTTTTCTCGGTTCTATTCATGCACATGTACCTCCCCTCTTATATTGAGGATAAGAACTCGGCTGCTGTTCGCGATATGTACACGGTTCAGTTTTATAATAAGCTTTGTAATGCGGCTCGGCCCTTATTTCGTGGTCAACCTGATTGCAACACTGATATCACTCATATTTGGCGAATATTACAAGAAACTCAGCCGCACACAACGACAGAGAACCTCAATACCTTAAGAACACGCTTAGTTCAGGAAACATCAGCTAAGAAATACTTGCCGCTTATCTACCAACATCCACAGAATGTTGATGATGTAGCAAGCTATCTCCGACGGCATAATGGCAATTTAAAGTCATTATATCCACGATTCCATCCCTTGTCTGTTATTAAAAATGCCCTTGAGGCTTGCCATCTAGACATATCGTTCTCTGCTTCTGATAAGCATAAAGGCACTATTATCCTAGCCTCTGAGCAGTCCAGGCAACCTTTGCAGTCCCGCGACCAAGATTTCGCCAGTCAAGTTGCCCATCTTTTCACTAAATGCAATACAATCAATATTAACGTAGAACTCAGTCCCGATTGTGCCAATGAAATAACTGCTGCATTGCCACAGCTAGTGTCTATGCTCTGCACTGATAAGACAATGGTTCATGTCAATGTTAGCAAGGATAAATCGTATCGTAGCAAAGATCTCAATGACTTTATTGCTGATCTAAAGACAAAGGTTGGTTCCAATGACCGCTGCATAATTAAAAAGACTCGATGGCAGACTACCGCGTTGCCCTCTTCTTCAAACTCAGTTCTCCCTATGCCACATCCTGATGCCTCTGCACATGAACGCCTACTTTCTTCTAAGTACCAAGTGTCTGGTTGCGATTACTACTATCAAGACAGCCCAACTAACAGCGCTTCTATCACAACTGACAGCGCTTCTATCACAACTAGCAGCACTCCTACCGCAGCAAATAGCTCGATTGATTCTGATCCTGAATATAAACCCAGTACTCCTTTATCAGCAACGCTCATTAAAATCGGTCTCAAACTCGTGTTACCACTCGGCATCCTAGTGTCTGGTTGGCTCCTGATGACTCATCATCCCAATTTCTTCTTGATCGGTTTAGGTGCTCTTATTATTATCCCTACTCTCCTCCAAGTTGCCATGTTTCGGCTTAAAAGGTACAAGCCGGCCTTCCGTTGGGTAAACATTGTTCTCCTTTTCACATTACTGGTCTTCTTTACTGGCCAATTAGTCTTGCATCTCGGACCATTTACTGCCAACTTAACCCAGCCTCGACCCAATATAATTCTACTGCTCTGTAATTGGGTCTTAGAGTGCGTTGTTCTTATTCCAACTCTCTTCCTGCTTTTCCGGTCGCTTAGTTCATCTAAATCTAAACGCCAGTCGCAACTACAAGCCACGGCTATTATCACCCTATACGTCGGGGCGATTTTCTTAATGCTCACAACCGTATCCTTTGTTGCTTTCTGGTCTCATACTGACAAACTCCATTCAATCATTCGAACTAACTTGATTGCACTTGCTCCCACTATTCTTTTGGCCGCAGTCGCACTTGAGGCTCGTCTGAATCCTCGTCAGAACGTCATATCAACAACCAGCCAGCCCTTCCAATGGCTACCGATCCTTCGGGTCATCAGTACCTGCATTATTCTTGTTGGCTTTATGACAATCGTTTTGCTGGTAATAATCCGACCCGCTCTGTTTGAGCTCTACATCCGAGATATACTCAACACGATAAAAGGGTAGTAGCCTATAATAAAGCGTCATTGGATGAATCTTTATAAGTCGGATGATATTATATTGGGTTGGTATTGTGTTAATATTATGGTTTGGATTGAGTTGGATTGAGTTGGATTAGTATGGTGTTCAATTTATTGGTTAAAGGGGCGGCCGATACTTAAGTTAGTATTACATCAATATGATGGTTCTTCTGAAGTTTTGCTTAAAAGATGACAGGTCTATTCAAACTCGCATATCTTTCTGATCCAATTGGTTGGCAGTTATAATAAACCGATTTAAACCCAATGCGACAATTCAAAACAAACCAAAACGTTAGCGCTATTATCTTTATTAACGTAGCACCTCACAATTAAAAGCCCGGAATGTGGTGGCCTAGCATAAGTAGTTGGGCAAGCAGTCGCACCACATACTTAGCTGGTTTCACATGGGGATGTACACCACGTTGCCCTGGCCGAAACGGCCGCCGTAATTGTATCCACCTTGGTAGCCCCCTTGTCCCGCGCCTTGTCTAGTACTCCAGCCGCCATTAAACCCTCCACCAATCAAAAGATCAAAGATGTCCCCTACGTCACCTCTTCGCTGATACTGCCGGCCGTCATTCTCTTCATACTGCTCCATGGCGGCATCGTTGTACCCCCAGAGCTCCTTTTCTTTCTCAGTCATGTACAATCCACTATCGTACTCGGCTTTGCGAATGTCGTCCGACAGAACGTCCTTGGCTTTGTTGGCCATAACAATGCGCTGCTTGTCCTCCTCCGCCCGCTTCTCGTCCTTGCCCTTCTTCGACCGCTTCCGGCGCAGCATGTTAGCTTCTCGACTGATGCGTCGATAGGCTGACATTACGTCATCTTTACTGGCTCCTTCAGGCAGGCCCAGGAACTTGTAGAAGCCTTCGGAGTCATAGACTCGCTGGCCCCGTCGAGACTCCACAAACCGCTTCCTTCGCTCACTGCGCTTCTTCTCTTGGTTACGCAACTCCTCTTGGGCCTTTTGCGCATCCTCTTCTGCCTTCTTCTGCTTGGCCTTCTTTCGGTCGGCCTGCGTCTTACGCAGCTCAGCGGCACGCTCGTTGTACAGCTTTCGCATGGCCTGCTGGTTGGCCGAGCCATCTGGAAGCTTCTTGAGAATGAAACTCTCGGCTTGCTGGAACTTGTTCGCCGCTAACAACAAACGAATGTGCTGCACATAATTCTCCTCAGTGGGCTTTGGAGTCATATCTAGCAACAACTGCGAGCAGATCAGAACCTCGCCAGTATTCGGAAGAACTTTGGCCATGTTGATCATTTTGTTCAGAAGGTCGTTCTTAAAGGTAGTTAGTAGAGGCGGCTCAAAACGAGTGTCTAAAGCCAAAGCAATCTTTAACCGGGTCATAGCTAGCTTTTTGAATTTGTTGTACTTATCCATTATTCCTATACTGGCTCGGTCGGCCGTGTCATAATCTCGCATTACAATGGATACTTGATCATTAATGGCGCGGTAGGCCTTAATTTCCTTACTTAACTTCTTTAACGAGCTCATGGCTGAGATATAGTATCCCATCAAAAAGTGGCAGTGCATCTCCAATACTTCAGCATGTTGGCGATACTCTTCTATTTTACCTAGTTTCTTGATGTCAGTCAATGCCAGGCTGTAAAGTCCTTTCTTAATGCGAATCTTGGTACGCATTTTTAACAACACCGGCGAGTCCATATCGGTTTTCAGTGCTTCACTAATTGCCTGCTCAGACTTCTTGTCGGCTACAGTCTCATAGGACATGGTTTGTTGCAACAAAGTAATAGCCTCCCTTTTCAAAGTTTGCATACTCATTATCTCTGTTCTGGCTTCTGAGAAAAGATCTAATTGAATCATAGCTTTAGCACGGTTAAAACAGATGGCTCTTCTCACACACTCACGAACATCAGTATTCTCTACCTGGTCCAGCTTAGTCTGGGCTGTTGCTAGTAAGGAAAGTGCCTCTTCTGGCTTACCCTTTAGTAATGCATCTTTTCCTTGCTGAAATTCAGTAATTCTGGTTGCAGCGGCTTCAACCTCTTCATCGGATGGATCCGGCTTCTTATCTGGCTCTCCTTCACGGACTTCGTATTTGGGCATGTCTTCGGATTGGTAATCATTATCTGAACTTTCCTCTGGCTCAATCTCCAGCTGTCGGTGCTTATTCTGTCCATTTCTTATCTCTTCCACCTCAGAAACCATCTCTGTAGCTGGCGCGTATTTGCAATCAACCCATAATAGCAGTCCTAGTATCAATATAGTTTGTATAATCAGTCTTTTGGCCTCCTTAGACCGCAATCCTTCTGGCATTCTATATCGCAAGTTCTGACACAACATGACTACCAAAAAATAATAAAATGTATATCGATCAATGAATATGTCTCCACGTCAATTAAAGCTATATTTAATGTTCGATTAGGGTGGTATTAGGCTGGTCCTAGTCTCAGCTGGTGTGGTAGATAATTTGGCCAAGTATGATGGCTTAAAAGTGGATTTTGACCGAGTTGGAATTTCAACTCAGAATTTGAATTAGTTCTGGAATTGTTATTACCAAAAAAGGAAAATATTAACTCATTCTGACCCAAATCAAGATCAATTGATTGGATAGCTACACCCCATTATAAGACACTAAAACAACTATTAACCAATTACTAACTTTAGATAACAAACCGTTAGAGAGTACTATTTAAACGAAAATTTTGTGCTGCTACTTCGATGCTAGATTTGCCAAAGTTGCCACGCATGCCTGTTCCTGTCTTCCGATCCAGAGATCTCCTCAATGGGAGCAAAAAGAAGCTCAAACTGTCGCAAAAAGGGACACGTTCTGGGTCCACAGATGAAAATTCAATTGTTAAAACCACAACACCCAAACCCGAAAAGAAGCACTTATGTAAGTACTTTGTTAAGAACGCATGCATTCGTGGGCGCAACTGTACGTTCTCTCATGACTTATCAAAGTTTCCTTGTAAGTTGTTTCATATCAAAAAGAACTGCCGCCGCAAGAACTGCCAGTTCTCACATGCCCCTATTAGTGAAGAGGAGATTAAAATGCTAGTTTCAGATGGCTGGGAGTTAGAGAAGGAAGAAAAAGAAGAGGTCTTTGTTTCGCCGTTTATTTAGTAGCGTGTTTTGTTAGATTGCGTTGTGTTGCGTTTTGTTGCATTATGTTGTGTTGGTAGTGTGTTAGTCTTGTGTTGGTATTTTGTTATCTTGTATTAGATTGTATTATCTTGTATTAGATTGTGTTGTGTTGTGTTGTGTTTGAATCTTATCGTTAATTGTGTTTTTGAATATTATCTTTGGCGTTAGCTTAGTACTATACCATGTTTAAGTTTAGAATGTCTTTTAGGTTGGGTTTAGATTAAGTTGTGCTTAGATTAAGTTGTATTTAGGTTTGTCTAATTTAAGCCTGAAGTGGTTTGAGTCCGAAAATATACTATTAAATGACTCTTCTTAACTTCTATTGATTTCTACTAAGTTACACTAACCCAATACTAACCCCACCTCAACCCATCTCAACTTACCCCCACTTCAACTCACCTCAACTTACCCCCACCTCAACTCACCTCAACTCACCCCAATACTAACTTAACCCCACCCAACTCAACTCAACTCAACTTAACCCAACTCAACTCAACTCAACTTAACCCAACTCAACTCAACCCAATACAATACTAACTTAATAATATCCTAATTTGGTAAATTAGATAAGTATGTCCATAAAGAAGGTCGGAAATTAATAAAAATGCAGAAGATGACTGAGAATGAACGTAAAGATATCCTTATCTGTGGTGCAAGTGGTTTTACTGGTCGAAAGCTCTTGGAACATATTTTGCTGAAACGTAAGCATCTGTCTGTAGGTATTTTGTGTCGTACGCAGACAAAGATAGATCAGCTAGTTAAGGAATTAGCACATTTTGATCATGAATTTGCTACTCATTGTTGTGGAGTAGATAAGATTGAAAAGCTTGCTGCGGTCTTTTATAAGTATAAAGTTGTGATTAACTGTATTGGGCCTTTTATTTATACTGGACTTCCTGTTATTGAGGCGGCTATTCGGGCTCAGACTGATTATGTTGATTGTACTGGTGAACCTGGGTTTATGCAGAAGAGCTTTGAAATGTTTGAAGATAAAGCTAAAACTGCTGGTGTTCGTATTGTGCATGCTTGTGGTTTTGATTCTTTACCCTTAGATATCGGTATGGTGTATACAATGCAGGAAATTGCTGCTCGGAAAGGTGAAGTGTCTAACTTAGTGGCTGAGTCTTACTTGCACTTGAAAAACACTAAGATTAATGTTGGGACTTTCAAAACTATTATTGCTAGCATTGATACACTTAAATCTAAACCTTCTTCGTCCTTAGCTCGTAAAGAGAAAGATAAAGAACTGGCTGTAAAGAGTAGTGCTAAGTCAAGTAGGAGGAAGGTTAAAAAGATGCCTTTCTATGCTAAAAAGACGGGTATGTATGCTATGATCTTCCCGGGGTCGGATTCCTGGGTGTTACGGAAGACTCGGCAAGTTTTACCCTACTTCCCAGTCTGTCACTGCTATATCTCAATTCCAGGAATATTAGGAGTACTGGCTGTTCTCTTTCTGGGACTTTTGATTGGTGCAGTGTATATCCTGCCCTGTCGATTACGTGAACATGCTTATGGGTTTATTGACTGGTTTAGTTTTGGACTAATCCGTGAGAAGGGGCCAACTGAGGATGAGATTTCTTCATCTGGTTTTGAAACCAAAATAATCGTTAATGGTAAAGATAAGGATCAAAACTCTTTTGAAGTCACTACAATTGTTTCTGGGCCAGATCCTGGGTACATCACTACCCCTGCTGCATTACTTGTTTCTGCTGAAACAATCCTAGCCAATCAAGACCTTCAATCCCGACCGGGTGTACACACTCCAGGATCTCTCTTCTACGACACCGATATTATAGCTGCCCTAATGAAAGAAAGTATTATGTTCTGTGTTGCCTCTGAGAAATAAATCTGAACCCCAATACTAACTCTATACCAATCCTATACCAACTCTATACTAACTCCATATCTTAACTAAACATCACCATAAAACAATCTAGTTTTAATAACATAACAACTTATCTTATTATGATGCCCCAACTAGTCTCCACTTTAAAATGGGTATCGATCAGGACATGGTTCTTTATTATTTGTTGGTCTGGCACTAGTTGCTGCAACTGCGATTAAAGTCTTGAATTAGGAATCACAAGCTCAGAATATAAACCTAGCCTAACTTTGAGGGATTTCAATATGACGTACGGCAAAAGACATGTTATAAAAACCCAACCTAATTAGTTGAATATGTTTGGATGAAAGAGTTGTTTTCTTCGGCCCATAATTCAAACTCTCGTATCTCGTATTTATTCATTCTCAAGTCTATTTGTAGGCTGGGAAATTTCCTTATTAGGTAATTTGCTTCCCGTCTTTTTAGAAACTGGAAATGTTCTTTAGGAACATACAACAAAAAGGTTATGTTTTAGTTCTGCAACCCAGCACTAACCCAATTCTTTTGAATATTGATCTTATCACATTTACTATTTAATGAGCTTTATTTCTTTTTGAATATGCCTTATCTCAAAAATAGAACTAATCTAGGTATAAATGAGAATTATCCATCTACAATACTTATGTGGATGGTTGTTATTGGGTTATTGGTGTTAGTGGATGTTGTTTGTGGATCAGCTGAAGATAGTGAAGATGAGTTGGCTTGTGGAAGTAGGGTTGGTAGTGAGAATGACTCTGCGGGTTGGAAAAAGTCGGGTGAGATGGCTGCTAGATTGAAAAAGCTTGGATTTCTATTGGATTGTGGGGTAATGGCTGTACTGGCTAGACCGTACACTCCAGAACAGTCAACACTCGTCGATTCCGATGCTAACCCAAGTCTAAATTCAAATGTGTCAGAAGAGATGCCCGACCTTTCTATAGTGCAAGTTAGGTCCAAGTCTATAGATTTTACCCTGCCCGAGTATTCAAGTGCCGAAGAGGCAAACGCGGCCTTTAAACTTCTAAATACAATTGCTGCTATCAAGACCATAGAAGTTTTGGTTAATTATACCGAGACTGAGTCAAAATGGCATCAAACGAATATCTTAATTATAACTCGAGTCATTAACATGATTGATTGTAAGAGGTTAAAGCTTAATTTGAAGTGTAACTTAGAGTACAATAGCAAAAACCAGTCCATTTATAATGCTAGTTTGCGTGAGGCGGAGAAAGTCATCGGTCTTACTCCTAAATCATCCTGCACGCTCGTAGTTATGAATCTCTTTTTGCTATGTTGGAGCGATAGTACTATCGCCATCCTGCAACCGTTTTCATCTATTCACTTTGTCCAAATACATACCCTTCCCCAAAACCTTGACGGTCTATGTTTAACGGCTAACTTCAAAATAGTTGTGTTCCCTAAATCTAATCAACGCAATGTTAATCTTACTTTTCTTTCATCCGTTTCTACCAAATGTTCTGAGGTCAAAATCAATCCCGCTGATAAACCGTTTTTGACAATACTAGGCCTTGAGATGTGTACTAAACAGCACCCAGAGATAACATTAGTGCTTAATTGGACCAATCTTCAATCTTTGGGCCGTCAACCTTTGAATCTTCAACCTAAAGGCAAAATTCATGTCCACACTATTATGATCCAAGATAACCACCTCCTTCATACAAAGCCAACAAGTCTTATGAGGAATCCAAAAAAACCCGTTGAGAAACGTATCTTTGCTACCAACCTTGTTGTTCTGGCAGGCCGCAACTTTCCTTGTCGAAGATATGAGCCCTTCCTCGGTAATTACATAAAAGATGCTTGTGCTAACTATGTTACCTTGACCGGCACAGCCGAAGTCCGCTATAAAGATGAGCGAACGGACTTTTATGATACTCTCGAGGTATTTCGTACGCTTGGTATCCTCACTAGATCAGAGATAGAATCCTTTTCTAATAATGTCTGTTGTGGTACTAAGCTTAAAAACACCGAACACATAACGATTAAGAAGCCCATTACCCTTCAACTTACAAGCTGGGTTAAGATGTGTGATAACAATAAGCTAAGAAAAGATCTGGCTTTTTGCCAGCATATACACTACACCGATATCACTATTGATGGGGAAGAGGAGTATACGTTTAATCCCTTTAATGCAGTTGTTGATATGCTAAAACGACTCCGCTGTATTACTACCCATAAGCTTACAATCCAAAACTTTTACGTGTTCTACTGTATCAATCCGCTTGATTTGTTTAAATTTAACAAGTTACTCTGCAAACTACCCCAATACACCATGGAAGTTGATGTTTTAGTATTGGACAATGCTCCTAGTATGGTTGTCGAATGGCTCCTGGGGACCTATAACTTTGTTAAACCAACAGAAGTGGTTATACTAACCCCATACTGCAATCTTTCCTTAATCCAAATTCTCTCTCATCCGAAAGGCCGGAATATCTCAAAGCTTGTCTTTAGAAACCTTGATAGACTAAAGGATATTGATTTACTTGCCAATAGCAATAGGAGCATATGTATTCAGGGGTCACATGTATGCCAAAAATACAACTTCTTCAGATATGTAGAGAAAAGGTGGAAACGTGGTATTACACCAATGGCTCTTGGTCTTGATAGGCTGGTTTTGCAATTCGACGGTACTAATCAGTGTTTGTCTGCTGAAATGCTATCTAAGGCAACAAGCTTGAGATTTCAGGAACAACTGAGCCTTCGCTTCTTTGACTACATTAAAGTGGCTCTTGTCATGAGACTAGCTATTGCCGATAGTCCATGGTTTAATGAAACCTCTGGTGAGTTAAAGCTTGCTGGCCTAACTCTAAAGGTTCTAAATGATGATCTGGCCTCCCATAAGGAGGAAGTAAGATTTAAGGTAGACCTAATTACATACCCAACTAGGCCTGTTTGCCGGCTCGTGCTACACTTCCGAGATGGCGTGGTAGTAACCCGTGCGATTTTATTGGATATTATTCTCTGGGCCAATTTCCGATTTGTGGGCCTAAAGGTCTTGACTTTATCAAATCTGGAGGTACCCGAGGGTCAGATAGATGAACCGGGCACACCTAACTATGTGCCCTTTTACACGGGTTCACTCACGAGTATTCAGATAATAGATAACACCTCAAGAATTTGGAATGTCAAGCAGCCAAGATCTTTACCTCCGCGGTGTCCTCGCCAGCCTCCATTTCAAAGTGAGCTATTTATAGGGGCATAGTTCTGTAATGTTTATCGGCCTGGCACTGATCGCAGCGAGTGCGATTAAAATCTCGAATTAGAAATCACAAGCTCAGATTAGCATTTATATTATGAGTTTACAGACTATCTCAAGATGATGTACAATAAAGATAACTTAAGTTATACCAACCCAATACTAACACAATTTGTCTTTAGTTGAGTATGTTTGGTTGAAAGGTACTATCCCTTCCCCGGGGCACGACAATATCCAAATATATGTTTGAGTGGTACTGGCAAAATCGACAACTCTGCGCTAACTTCTTAGTCTAGATAGGATGTATTTTAATCCCACTACACCCACCCATCTATTCTTAAAGCATTTCCATGATAAGGAGGTAGCTCATTATTGCCGTCAGAGAGATAAAAATCTCTATCTGTCGGATAGCATAAAGGATCAGATAAGCGACGAAATGCTAAAAAGACAGATAGCAAAGGAAACGAAAGGATTGGCTGCAGAGAAAAGGAAAGTGATAAGAAAAGATGGGAGGATGAGTTAGACGATGTGACAAAAACTCTAGAACAAAATGAGATATATTTCAAAGAATTGTGAAATAGGCTAAAAAGAAATGTTTATCATTAGTCCAGAAATCAAAATCAAGTATCTCAAATCAATACTAACCCAAGAGAAATCAGAAAGCAAATCGACCAATTGATGAACCGGATCGCGGAAGCAAATAAGACAACACTATCGTTAAACAAGCGCATAGAAGAAACAGCGAAACAAATCAAACAGATGGAATTAGCCATTAACGCATCTCAAAATTATTGTCTGATAAGATAGTAAACCAATCATGTAATAAATCAGACTTAGGATCGAATATGTTTAGCCCTAATTGTGTTAGTCTGCCTCTTCTAATAAATTGTCAGAGATTGAGTTATTATAATTGTTGTGAATTTTTCCAAATATTTCAATCCAATCCCTACCAATATTGTAAAGAGTATGCTTTCTGATTTTCTTTTTGGAATTTCACTTAGTGTTTGTTTAATATCTTGTGAATCTAGATCTACATCAGTGG